ATACAAAACAATAAAGGCAGCCCGACTTACTACTACAAGAACAAGCAAGTTGCTTGTTCAGGAGACATCAAGGCAAGTGGTCGGGTCCCCTCAAAGCAAACCCCCTTCCAAGACTAAAACTCAATGGGAATACATGAACATACATGCACTCTGATTGGTGACCACATTTGTCACTGATAAGGGGAAGTGAGAGAAAAACAGCAATGAAGCTGTGAGCTAAGCCCTACAATGTTCAATAGACTCCTGTGAACCCGGGTGGAGACCTGGTTGGCCAGCAGTGTGGCAAGACCTGGGAATTCTTGGGCCCAGAGTCAGTGACATAGCCACAGAGGACTAGAGTGGAGATATGTTGTTGTTGAGTCAATCCCAACTCATAGTGACCCAGTGTAGGGCTTCCAAGGAATGGCTGGTGGGTTTGAACTGCCTACCTTGCAGTTCAAACTGACTCTGTGGTCCAGTGCTTAGCCTATAGCACCACACCAGGACTCCAGATACAGAAGTATTTAAAGTAAAACAAACTTACAAGACTGAAAATAGGGAACCAGAGATATAGTTTGCAACAACAACAACAAAGAAAACATAAAGTAAAAAGAGTAAATAATGTAGTTATAGTACTTCCAAACAAAGAGGAAATCAAGTAGATTTCAAGCAAATAAATAAATGAAAATAAATCTAACTGTAACCCTAAACTGGACCAAGCCTTACTCCTAGCCCTAGCCCAAACACTACTCCAACCACCAACCCTAGTCCCAACTATAATCCTAACATTAAACTGAGTCCTAGGCCTAGCTTCTGTCTAGCCTAAGCCCAGCCATAGTCCTAACCCTAACTCGTTACTCCAACCTCCCCAAAATTAATAAATTAATTTCAAAAAGAAAACAAGATGACTACAGGTGCACTCCCTCTAGCTATACTTCCATGTGGCAATAATGATCTACCATTATCTATGCACTAAAACATTGCCATCCATGTTTTTTCCTCTTTGTGATAATATAGCAAGTAGGATGCAGAGAATTATTAGCAAATAGACATATAAATATATGCCACATAGATTTTACACCTACAGATAGTTATCTGCAATTTATTATCAATAGCAAACACTCATGCAACATATAAGAAATAGGTATCAACAGAAACATTGTGAGACACCTGCTTTCATTCAGTTCTACCATTTATTTATTAGGATTTACACTATGGCCTCTGGGAGCATAGTGGTTATGAATCGGGCTGCGAATCTCAAGGTCAGCAGTTCAAAACTACCAGTTGTTCCACGAGAGAAAGATGAGGCTTTCTGCTCCTGTAAAGATTTATAGCTTCGGAAACACTGTACAGGGTCACTATAAGTCAGAACCAACTCCACGGCACATAACAACAACATACTTTGGCTTCAGATCATAGGAGGGGGCTTCAAAAAGTTTATGAAAATTTTAAATTATCTTTTCATTACATTTTTCCATGGACTTTTTAAAATTCCTTGTATATTTATATGTTGTAGAAAATTAAATTCAATGATTCAAAGAAATTAAAAATAAATTGCTTAACTTGATGTTTAGTCTCCGTTCATATTATGGAAAAAATACATAAACTGAACCTGTTCTCTTTATCTGTTCATTATATTGCTGTAGACAGAGTAACCCTAGGACTTTCTATTTGCTTTGTTTCTAACCTGCAAGCCTCAGTGAGCTCTCATCAGAACAATGCTGTACACACAGTTCCTACATTCAAAGCAGTTTCTTTCTTTCTCTCTCCAGTATTTTTTTTTTTTTTCCGGGGGGGAAGGGGGGGATGTTGAACTACAGCCAACCATTAAATTACCTTGAAAGGTAAAAGGTGGAGAAAAAAAGAAGTCCACAGACGGTATTTGGCCTCATTTTATGAGGACACTCAATCTTAATTTAGAGCAAGAGAGAAGAGTTTTTTTTAGCATGAGAACTAGAAAGAAGTTTTTCAAACAAGCCTGTTATAAATGGGCAGGTGAGTGTGCTCTTGTTTCTGTTCAGGTGGGGCTGTAGGTCAGATTTGTGCCTGTAAATCCACACCCATTTTTAACCAGAAACATCCAGAGTACACCTCCAGCAAGAGCGCTGGCCAGTTCAAGTAAGCAAGCAACTTTTAATCAGCGAGTAAGTTATATTTAAATGATTAACTTTCATTATTGAAAAGTTAGACCTTCAGTAAAGGGTGGGGAAAGTTAAGCGAAATTGTGCTTTTCTTCTTTTAATGAAATGGATTTCCTTTGTTGGTCTATAGTTATTTTTTCTAGATAGATTACTGATACTCTAATAAATTGTCATTAACCAAAACTGATTCCAACAATTATAATGCAAATAGCATTAGCTCTTTCCAATTTTCTTTTCAATTTTGGACTTTTTTTGAGAGGTTTTTTTTTTTTTTTTTGTATTTCACTGCCATTGAACTGATTTCACTCACATAAGATCAGGTGGAGCAGCCCATAGGGTTGGTTTCCAAGTGTATAATCTTTACAGAAGCAGCCTACCACATCTTTTGTCATTTGTCCATTTGATGGTTTTGAACAGCTGACCTGTCAGTTAACAGCCAGTACTTTAACCACTGTGCCACTAAAACTCCTTATATTTTTTATATGAGTTATGTAAAATTACTTTTGAGAACTAAATACTATTGCCAGAAAACGCAACTGGACATTGTTCATAAAGCTTCATCTTAGACACAGTCTCCAGAGTCTGAATCATGTTATATTTGTTTTCTATAAGGAGTTCTGCTAGTGTAGTGGTTATGAATCGGTCTGTGAACCACAAAGTCAGCAGTTCGAAACTACCAGCTGTTCTACGGGAGAAAGATGAGGCTTTCTGCTCCCGTAAAGATTTACAGCCGCGGAAACCCTGTACAGGGTCGCTATGAGTCGGAACCGACTCCACGGCACATAACCACCACCATGCCTAGTACTGGAGTCCTAGTGTGGTGCCATAGGATAAGCACTAGACCTCAAGGTCAGTTTGAACTGCAACTTTGGTGGTTCAAACTCACTAGCTGCTCCTTGGAAACCCTATACAATGTCGCTATGAGTCAGCACTGACTTGACGGCACTTTAACAACAACATGCCTGGTACTAGAGCACACTCAGCAATCTGTGTTTTCTTTCACCAGGAAATGCATTAATCATCTAAAAATAATAATAAGCATGCAAACATTGAGTTATCCTGCCATAGAGTATATTTAATGCTTATTTTATCATTTATCTAACAATGTGAAACAGAAAACCAGAAATTTTGTTGTTTTATTTTAAAGTAGAACAGTATTTGACAATATTGTATAAACACTTGAAATTTGAAAAGAAAAAGTGTGTGCCTTCTGAACTCTAAAAGAGAGCTTTCAAACAGTGGAAATGGTGAGGTTCTACTTTCACCTGCTAAACTCTGTTCCTGACATAAGGAACTCTTTGTAATGCTCCCTCCAAGTTGTTTGTTGCCATGGAATGCATTCCAATCATGGCAACTCGACATATGCAGAATAGAACGGTTCCACGGTGGTCTCAAGACAGGCTTTTTGGAAGCAGATTGCTAGCTCTTCTGAGCCACGCTAGGCAGATTTGGACCATTAACCTTTCTATGAGTAGTCTGTTAATGTTGTGGTGTCTGCTGGGAAAGGTTTATGAGGCTGTAACGATTTACAGTAGCAGAAAGCCTCATTTTTCTCCCTCAGAGCGACGGTTGGTGGCCTTGAACTGCTAACCTTGTGGTTAACAATCCAGTTCTTATCCTACAGTGCCACCAGCGCTCCCTATTAGTAGTCTAGTGCTTAACTATCTGTACCATCAAGGAACTCCTTCCTCCAAGATTAAGTTTCCTTAACTTTTCTTTACATCCAAGATGTTTGTATGAATCTTAAGGCAGTTATGAACCGTCTTCCTGAAGAAAATGCACTTAGATGTATACAGTTTTGCATATAATATCAGGGTTTTGTGATAAAATCACTAGGTTCTTCTTTCCAGGTACCTCTAAGTAGACTTGGACCACCAATTATTTGTTTAGCAGATTTGTTAACTGTTCATACCACCCGGGGACTCACTGCACATTATTGAAAGAAATAATTTAAACAGAGCTAATGTGATCTTAAGTCCTAGTGTGGCACTGTAGGATAAGCACTGGACTGCTAATCACAACGTTGGCAGTTCAAACCCACCAGCTACTTGCAAAAACCCTAGAAAGGACTGCTATGAGTCAGCCTGACACAACAACACACAACAACAACATGATCTTGGAGCCCTCGTGTGGTGCTGTAAGATAAGCACTGGACTGTTAATCACAATGTTGGCAGTTCAAACTTGCTAGCCATTCTCAGAAACCCGATACAGGGAACTGACTCAACAACATGATCTTGAAGGAGGCCTGATGGTGTTGTAGGGTAAGCCCCAGACTGCTAACTGCAAGGTGGACAGTTCAAACCCACGAGCTATTTTGCAGGTGAAAAATGGGGCTTTCTGATCCAGTAAAGATTTGTTGTTGTTAAGGGCTGTTGAGTTAGTTCCAAGGAGTGGCTGGTGAGCTTGAACCATCGACCTTGTGATTCAAACCAACTTTGCAGTCCAGTGCATTAACTCCCAACACCACACCAGGACTCCGCTGCTTTGGAAACCCTGTATAGGATTACTATGAGTCAGAACCAACCTGATGGAAATGAGTTTGGTTTGATATTTAACCTGATCTTGTTTGAGTGTCACCATAGTGCAGTAAACAGTTCAGTCAAGCTTCAGTGAGTCTTGATCCCGTTTCCTTTCAACTTCCTTGTACTATTTCCAAAATGCCTACAGTGTGACTTTTCCCAGTGTGAGTAGTGAGTTGAGTGCAGTTTTTAAATAAAAAGTGAATGCAAAGATCTGAGTTTATATTGTATCAAATCACACCAGCAGCAGCTTGTCCAAATCTGAACAAACATCTTTTGATGATAGCCTGAAGTAACCTAGTAAATTCTGAAAATTACCTTTTATTATCTAGAATCTTCTGAGGAATTGTTTAGTACAAATGATGCTACACTCAGAATTAGTCCTTAGTTTCTTAATCATCACAGTTTCTTCCAACCTCGCCATTACAATCAGAAAGGAAAAGAGACCTCCTCAGACACTCTCAAGAGGTACTGTAATTTTATTTTCCAAACTCAGTCATTTGTATTGTTTTTAAACACCTAGTTTCTCCCATAGTTTACTAAAAAAGAAAACAAAATTAACTGGAATATTTTGTTGTGCACTATTTCAAAATTGGCAAAAAAACTGACAAAAGGTAAAAAAGATTTGTCATATCTTTTCCAGAAATAGCAGATAATTGGTTTGTTGCCAAGAACATGAAGACCAGGATCCTGGACAAAAATGGTTATGTGTATGATTGTTATACATATATGCTTGATTTATATAATGATGTCCTGAATGCAATTTAAGATCCCATCAATTCACTCAGGTTCCCTGTCCTCTCTTTATTAAGTCAAGAAAATAATTTGTGACTTTATAAATTATGTTTTATATCAACCCTTGAGGATGTTAACAAACCAAGGTCTTTCTACATTGATTTCAGAAACTAGTTGCAGTGGTTTTAGACTCTCTAATCTAGATTTATCATTGGCTACATGTTTAGAAAGGAGCTCTGGTAGCGCAGTGGTTACGAGTTGGGCTGCTAAACTCAAGGTGAGCAGTTTGAAACTACCAGCTGTTCCTTGGAGAAAAGATGAGGCTTTCTGTTCCCATGAAGATTTACAGCCTCAGAAGCTCTATACAGGGTCGCTGTCAGTCAGAACTGACTCCATGGCATGCCACCACTACCACCATGTGCTTATTACAACATTCTATTTGTACTTACTGCTTTACTTTAAGAAAAAATGGATATCTTTCTCCATAAAGAAATATCTTGCACATAAAAATTGCTCAAAATTGATTCCTACCTACATTCCCAAGCAACAGAAATGGGGACAGAATCATTTGCCCTTTCATGGCTAATTCAAAATTAGTGGTATAACTACAAAGCTTTCAACCACTATTTAAATCGTCTCATGAACAGGACAAGCAAATGAAGACTATTGTATAATTTAAAATCTAATCATGTTGACTTATTTCTTTAAATTCAGTCATTCC